AACTTTACTGACATTCAAGTCACTGCAAACTTTGGCTGAGCCAGTTAAACTGTCTCTTAGGGCCTCTCTACATGTGCCGGTAAAGTGCAATGGGATCCAATGCACCACCCAGAAAACTGTGCCTCCTGTTATGTCATATGTGCATGGCAGGAGGCGTGACTGTGGGATGGCACTTTAGTTCCCATTGTGCCTTATTATTGGTGCAGGGGGAGCCCAATCCCAGATTCCCTTTGCCAGGGCTGTCCCTAGGCAGTGCAAATCGGAGCAACTACCCTGGGCCCCACACTTTGGGGAGGCCCACATAGCCGGATGGAGCAGTCACAGTCCCTCCTGCAAGGCCCACCTAGTGCTGGTGACTCTATGCTGCTGCTGCCAGCTTTGCATCTGGCTGCTTGTCACCTCCGGTGGCTTCTTCACGTCTGGGCCCCGTACAGGCTGATTTGCCCCAGGCCACGCACACTGCTAGAGTCATCTCTGCCCCTTACACTGGCAAGAAGCAATGCTAGAAGACTGTGGCAGCTGTGAAATCCCAGATCCAGGGGTTTCATGCACCCTGAGCCTGGGAGAGCGCTGCAGCTGCCATCTCAGCACTAGGAGGTGCGCTGCCAGGACCCAGAGTTGGCACCTGCTGGGGCTGAGAGTCCCCTCAGTTGTAGAACTCCCAGCCCTGGCTGTGAATGGTACACCCCTATGCCTGGGAGCCCCATCAGCTGATGGGGTTCCCAGCTGCACGGGAGACCCTGCTAAATGTGCATATTAAAGCTGGATAGCAATCAGCTATAAATTAGTACACATTTTTGTGTTCTAATTTTATAGTTCATTGGAGCTTTTTATGGCATAAGTCCTTTGCATGCATAGATGGTCTCAGGAGAATTGCACAATTAACCAGTTAATTGTGCGGTACCTTTAATGTGTAGAGAGGGCCTAAGCCTATCTCTGAGTATCAACAGTGAGCTCAGTGTGGAACAAGAGAGGCAGACATGGAACAACAATTTTAAACTTATTTAAATGATTTGGGCACTGTTTTCAAAAGTGACTTAGAGCCTGGTTTTCAAAAGTGTAGTGTCTAAAGATGCAGACAGCTACTTAGTGGGATTTTCAAAAGCAAACAGTCAGGCTACTGCTGCCAAATTCCTCCCAGTTTTAATGGCAGGCATCTAACCAGCTTTGATGCTTCTGAAAATCTCAATAGGCACTTATCTGCACTTTTACACACATAGTTACCTTTGAAAATCTAACTCTTAAGCTCCTAAATGCTGAAGATCACATTTCAAGGTGACATTTAGGTCCCTTTAAAAATCTGATTCATGGTCTCTAGTTTAAGTAACTTAGAAATAGACATGAACAAAACTCCAGAATAAATTACATATTTCAATAATGAATTAAATAAAATCCTGAGGTCCAAACACTCCTAACCATGACTGGATTGATATTTATATACAAATATAAAGTACTGCAAGCTTGGGCTATCAGGAGTCAACCTTTGGCCTCAGCCACTGAAGTAGAAGATTTCAGCTACCAGCTCAGATCTAAATGCCACTGCAGCTGTGACATTTTGTCCTGGACCCATCTCTGCTTACAACTCAGGACCACAGTTCTTACACAAGTGCTGAATGTCCGTGCCATAAGTAGTCATAATGACTGCAGTGTGTCCAGGGGAACTCTGGCTTCTCAAGTGCATGATTACTCAAAAATATCTTGGCAGCGCTGGCACCTAAATCAGACAAAAACAAATACACTAGATGCATATAAAGCTACTTTTCTTGAAGAATGTCCAGAAACGCAATTTTAAGTAAATCACCTTATAAAATGGAACACTTAATAACTGAACAAAAGTAAGGAAATAGTATCACTGTATTATCACTGTGATCTATGACACAGGCTTATACAAAAACTCCTACTAAATAGCCATTTGAGGGAAGAGGTGAATGTATGCCTTGATCCTGTATCACAGTATACAAGAGCAATGAAAAAGCCATTGTGACAATGCAGTTGAAACACTGAATCCACATGTAGCAATCGCAGGATTGAGCCTCCAAATTATGGTATCTGAGCCCTACAAATCTTTC